TTAACCCGTCAGCCATGTTTTGTAACTTAATGAAATCTACATCATTCAATAGTTCTAAAAGAAATTGTCTAAGCTTAGTTTTGGTTCTAATTAGGTCGTGGAGTTTGTTAATGCTTTCCTTGAGCCTCCTAGTTTTAACTAAACCACGCGACACCTGATCAAGTTCCCTATGTGTGGATGTTGGTAGATTAAAACGTCTACCGAGTAAACAACTCATAGAAACAAAATTCATTAAACCAAGAAAGTCATCCAATTACTCTTTTCCGTGCTGCCAGACAGCAAACTAATCGTCAACATATCTGACCAATAGTTTCGCAACTAAAAGTGATGCTTCTGAAAGCGGAACTCCCAATTGAGATGCGTAGTTATTAGTTAAAACTGAAGATAAACATGATTTATAACTAACCCTCCTGTTTGTTCGTATAATTTCCCAGTTAAGATGCGTGTTTGTTTATACATGCGACAAACATGAGTCGGTTGTGAAGTGCCCATATCCGGCAAAACGTTGGGATTCAGGCCACTCCATCTGGTGTCCTGTAGCAACGACATGTTTAGCGACTTCCGATTTTTAAATCCACAAATCTTTGCAACTGGTTCTGTGTTCTGTGTGTATGCATGGGTCAAAAAGTCTCCCCCACATAAACATTACAACATGAGCACAAAACCTTATAACAACCTAATCTGCAGGGAGTGTCCGAATATTTTTATAAAAGTATACATGACTGAGGAAAACGCTATTATTCCTTTATGCATTGTCTTGACGGTCCATTTCCTCAGCAATTCGCCAAGTAGAAAGAGTTTCATTGAAGAGATTTTAATGAAGTTTATTAACCTTACTGACCGATTATCAGAAGAAACTAGAAGTGAGATTGAAATACAGTTTGTTGCTCTATTTGATAGAAAGTTAATAATATCATAAAGAAGCTTAGACTACACGAGCAAATAGTTTTGAGGGCAGACAATTGAGGAGCAGTGGTAGTAATGTGAAGATGATGCTGGCTTTAGCTGATGTTGATACGTACAAAATAATAACTAGTACGCCTACAGAAACACCAAAGTCGAGACTGAAGAGTTGTCTTTAACAATGCGTTAATGGTGGAGAGTTGGAGAAGTGGAAGATGAGTGCGCTCCTCCAACGTGACGCTACACCCTTTAATGCATACAGTCTGTCCAAAATCCACAAAGAGAGGGTCCCACTTAGGATCATTGTAAATAATAAGTGTCGTGTGATGCATAAAACATGATGATTATGGCTTCTTGAAATTTGCAATAAAAATTTTAATAACTGTAAAGTTAGAGGATGAGCAAAGAGTAGAACAAGAAAATTTGTGAATAAGTTTCGATGCATTATCAATGCACACGAATATATTGGAATGTGGGGCCATACCGGTATTAGGATTAACCTTAGATCTACACCCAGACATCATATCAGGAAATAAGATGAGCAAGGAATCAATCATGCGATTGACGAGATTAATAATGCATAGTACATATTTTGTCTTTAATGGCAAATTATACGATCAAACCGTAGCGTTGGCAATGGGATTGTGTTTTTCTCCAGCTTTAACTAATAACTACACGGTTCAGCTGGAAGCCCGGCTTTTCAAAAGTGTCTCCTTGTTGCGAAACTATTGGTCAGATGTTTGGATGACTTGCTTGTTTTAATGAATAGAGGAGATAAGGCGACTAATTTCACTATGGAGTTAGAAAAAGAGAATAAGTCACCCTTTGTAGATGTCGTAGTTAGTAGAGAAGGGAGCAAACTGGGTAGTGATGTTTATAGGAAACCCACAAATGCTGGTTTCCTGCTTAAGTTCTTCTCGGGGCATACTTTTTGTGCTGAGGTAGGCGTAATGAAATCAATGATAATAAGGAGTTTACGCCTAGCGCAAGTGGATCGTCAAGAACATGAGTTCAAAAGGTTGAGAAAAATTTTAGTTGAGAACAACTATTCTGTAGGATTAATTGTTAACAATTCAAAAATATTGAGAAATAGGCTGAAGGAAAACATTATTTGAGACAAAACACGCAATTAGACAACACTTTGGCCTTGAAGAAAGATAGACGAATTACTGAGGAAATGGGGCGTCAAGACAATGTATGAATAAAGAATAACGCTTTCCTCGATAATGCCTTCTTTTAAAGAATATTCAGACGACCTCTGAAGATCAGGTTGTTATAAGGTTTTGTTCTCATGTGGTACTGGTTATGTGGAGGAGGATTGTTGACTCATACAGAAGAGGCTATCAGAAAAGAGGTTTATGGATTGAGAAATCGGAAGTGGCTGGACATGTGGTTGTAACAGGACACCAGATGGAGTGGCTTAAATCACAACGTTTTGCCGGGACTTTACAGCTAAACGGGAGAGGATGAAGGAAGTTGATTAAAATTAACAAAACAAACAACATCCTGAATAAGATTAACTAATGTAGGAAACTACGTAATGACTATCTCTGGCTGCTAAATAGAATGTGTGTGAGAGAGAGAGAGAGAGAAAGAAGGAAAAGGAACATAAAGAGCCACTGAGTAAGAGGATAATACTTAACTAAGTTGGAGTATACGTACACACACGAACAAACAAGACTCAGGATTACATAATCATACGCTAGTTTATTTGCATATACTAAAGTTGAGACCACATGCATGTAGGACAAGCATGAAACAGCCAACCAAATCACACAAGTCCTCGTGAAGATCGCAATGTGAGGTATAAGAAGAAAGTAGGATCTCAGCTGGCCACCTTTCTTGGTTTCGCGTATTTTAGGTGATTTTTGTGTGAATTATGCTTTATGGTTTCGACGATGTCCGTCGTAGGGCGGACAAAAGTAAAAGCCAACCACCGTTTCTCACATTCAATGTATTTCCTAAGCTATTCATTTCAATAGGCTCTCTTAGCTTTCTTTTAACCGCTGACGTACCATAATCAGCAAACCTTCAAGTTTGAGATCATTCCATTTCATGAGCAAACAATCTTGTAGCAGCCGGATCTCGATAATGGGTCATATTTCTCTCTAAAAGATGGCTCAACAGAAGAAATTGTGAGGGTTTCTTTGAACACTGTTTTTATGTCTCACGGCAAAACGATAAAATTAGGAGATGGAAAAATGTCTCCGTCTGTCTCTCTTTGACTAAATCCTCTCTGTCTGAAAATGTACTCCTCAGTAGAGAGATATTATTCTCAATTAGGCTTAAAGGATAATTATTTTCCAGGAATATATCTGCGAATTTCTTCGACCCGCCTACTCAAACGAAATAAAATGTATGCCAGTGTCCATCCCCTAAGGGATTCTTCGAAACTCAGCTTCTCTTCTTATCTCAAAATCACTGTCTGACTGTCGCAAATCCCAACTACCGGTCCTTCATCATCTTGCACGAAATAGGGTGAGCATAATTCATAGATGTGATTTACTGATAGTCTTAAAAATCTACTCAAAGACGAAATATAAGTAATGTCATCGATTGTCATAGGAAAAATAAATTTGCTTCAATGAAAATTCCACCACAGAATGTGGTATGATAAAATGCCTAGTCTTCCTTGAAATTCACATCTTCAATGCGACTCAAGTGCACTCGTGGCAATGTGGCGTAGTGGTTGATGTGTCGAGCTTACAAGCTGCACTGTCATGGTTCGAGTCCCGCTGTGGTCGTTGATGGACGCAAGACGAGGCCGAAACTCCAGTCTACTTGAACTTGGATGAGAACAACTTTGGGTAATGCAAGATTATGTGAACTTGGATCGAAATGTCAGCTCAATTAATATTATTGTGGGAAAATTCAACTTCCACCCCTTTATCACATAAAACGAAATATGGTGCGCATAGAAGTTTTCGCAACTTGGTTTTGTTGTCAGGGCGACTTGGTAGAATGAGCCTTGTTCGCAGTCCCCTGCCAAAGCAGTTATCATAATTTCCAGCGTCAGACCGTGGACTTGGTACATTCTCGGACGGCATCTGGTACCGGTGGTGGCGATGATCACGTTTCATTAAACCCACTTGTAGCGACACACTCTCAAGTCACATTGGATGAAAGGATAGCACATGATTGTGTGAATGGGTCATATGAAGAGGGTTGAGGGAAGAGGATGCAGCCCCATAAAGTAGAATTAAAAATAGGGTTTGAAGCAAAATTGGTCAAGGCGATTGCCTTCACTTGTCACTCTGATCCGTTTTAACTCTGTACTGAGGATGACATCTCTCACTGACGACGCCGGCGAAGCGTTTAGCAATGCTTTAAGTCAATGGTCCGATGCTGGAAATCCCCAACGCTATGGCATAGGATACAGGACTAGGCAACTTCTAAAAACGAGGTATTTCCAACAACAACCAATTTTTTTGTTTATTTGTACACTCTTTAAATTACAAATGTTCAACATGCTGATCTCCGAGTACCAATCAATCGGCAGCCTGATCCCCTCAATTCACAGAAGTCTTTTTCATGTTCCCTATCGGTTATAGAGATTATTTGTTCCCATATGCATTCCTGCCATTTAAGGCATTATTACGCAGAAATCACATACATTTCGTTGAGTATTCACACAACCAAGTCATACACTTTTCCCATCTTTTTGGCAATCCAGCCCAACAGTGGGAACTACCGGGTCTGCATACTTACACCCCGAATGTATATTTCTGAACTCACCTCAGAATTACAAACAGACACACACACAAACACACACACAAACACACACTCACACATGGCTCAAGCCAGATTTTTTGGCACCGTCTATAACTGCATTCGCGTCCGTGTCTCCTAAGCTCCTGCAAGTCCATTCCTTGCCTGAGGTCGAACTAGCCTTTAAGCTGGCTTCCGAGCGCGATTCCAGATCTTGTCACACCGAAGGACTGGCTGATCCAGCGGATCCAGTCCTTGAGTGCACATACCTTCTGGCATTGATGGATGGAGTAGTCGACCGCATTCCAGCCACTCTCTCTTCCTTGATCTACAATTGGACTCAGTCTCCCAGCGAGAACACTACCTCTCACGCCATTCGTCATTTGAGATTAGGAAAAATATCTTCGAAATGGCCGAAAAAATACCTCCAAATGAGCCAGACCGTCAGCAGGCCCAGCCGTTTTTGGTGGGCAAGATTGGCGTGT